ATTCCTTATTTCCAAAGGCGGTAGGTTAAAAGCTTTTGGAGGAGTTACACATAATTTGACTTCAATATATATATATATATATATATATATATATACAGGGTGACTTCGACGTTGAGTCATTTATTTTAACAGTGAGTAGATCTGATTAAATGAAATGTTTTTTTCCTTTACCATTTTTCTGGTAAAATTAAAGTAACAAAGTTATAGCCCTTGGAAGTTTGAGTACCGCCCTGTCGCAATAATAATATTATGTGCTCGTGTTTGGCAACAACGGATATAATCCGCCTTATCGGTTCATCGCATCGGAAACAAAACAGCGAAAGAATTTGGAACGATGTTTTTACAATTATTTTATTCAGTTGTATACAGTCAGTGTCAGTCGGTAACTCGTGAGTGAATAGGTGGTGTCTGTTGCGTGGCTCAAACGGAATAAAAAATGGCACATGTTTATGCGGATCGGTTTCCCAATCGAGTGCAACCAACCCCTCGTGCCTTTGTTAATGTAGTACAAAGGGCTCGTGAATCAGGTGACTTAAGACCTCACAGGGGAGACCATGCCGGTGCTCCAAGACCGCACGATCAAATACAGGTCCGCACTGAAATATTTGTCGGGAGGATACTTTATAAAACAAGGGTAACATTTTTTTTTTAATTTTATTTTTATTTTTACACACATATTTTGGTTTATCTTCCTTCTACAATCATTATCTGAAAATTAATGACTCAACTTCAAAGTTATATAGAAGTCTTCACTAATTCTCGTATTAGTTTTCCTCTATTTTTAATATGTATAAACAAGTTTTCAGTATGTAGTAACATTTACATGATGTTCTAGTACAAGCAACTGCTGTACATCTGATAATAATTTTCTTAGTAGAAGCTTCCTTAGTTTTCCAGCATTCAAAATAGAAAGGCATATCGAAATATGGAAATATTATCGAGAAATAATTCTGTAACGCCTATGCTTTTCAGAATCCAAATACGAGGTTGTTTCAAGAATAAGCCTCCCACATTGTAGGCACAAGGAATTTTTTATTTGAAACAAGAATTCGCCATTGGAAACCTTTGATCTTTAAGCAATTTTTCCGGATAGTCGGCATTTTTTTTCCGCACACTTTTTTAGACTTGAAATCCACTTTCGCACTACCGCCTTTTGAACCCTATTTTTGACACAACCCTGTTCATCGGTAGAATACCTCTTGAATTTAATAGTAGATACTATAATGATTTAAGCCTCGTTATTACATAGTCACCAATGCTGCTTTCACTCTACAGGGTGACTTTAAAGTTGTGTCATTAATTTTCAGATAATGATTGTAGAAGGAAGATAAACCAAAATAGTGTGTAAAAATAAAAAAAATTAAAAAAAATGTTCACCTTGTTTTATAAAGTATCCTCCCGACAAGTATTTCAGTGCGGACCTGTATTTGATCGTGAGGTCTTGGAGCACCGGCATGCCGTCCCCTGTGAGGTCTTAAGTCACCTGATTCACGAGCCCGTTGTACTACATTAACAAAGGCACGAGGGGTTGGTTGCACTCGATTGGGAAACCGATCCGCATAAACATGTGCCATTTTTTATTTCGTTTGAGCCACGCAACAGACACCACTATTCACTCACGCGTTACCGACTGACACTGACTGTATACAACTGAATAAAATAATTGTAAAAACATCGTTCCAAATTCTTTCGCTTTTTGTTTCCGATGCGATGAACCGATAAGGCGGATTATATCCGTTGTTGCCAGACACGAGCACATAATATTATTATTGAGACAGGGCGGTACTCAAACTTCCAAAGGGCTATAACTTTGTTACTTTAATTTTACCAGAAAAATGGTAAAGGGAAAAAACATTTCTTTTGATCAGATCTACTAACTGTTAAAATTAATGACTCAACTTCGAAGTCACCCTGTATACAGGAATCCAAATATACGCCAAGGAATTTTATATATTTCACATTATTGATATCAATATTATTTATTTTTTTACCATGTGTGAAATTTGCTACATTTAGTCTTGTACAAATAATTATTTGAAAATTAGTTATGCAGCCTAGACAGTGCAATATCTATATAATCTTGTAACTGTTTCTCAGAAGAACCAGAAGCTACAATTGAGGTATCATCTGAAAATGAAGTTAAAATTGCCTCAGGAACACCATTAGGCGACTCGTTTACGTAAAGCAACAATAAAACAGGGCCTGTGAGACGCCCATCAAACATTCTTCAAACCTAAAATTAACCTAGTACCAATAGAATTTGAATGGCGAATAACTGCAAAACTACATACGGCTTTTTGTTGTACACACGATTCATCATCAAACTGATGAGTCGTTCATGATGAATGTTAAGGAATTAGATCCATTGTTATTCCTCAATTGTCTAAATGAATACGGGTACAAGCTGTTAGCGGTTTGGATATGGTAACACATATTCATGTTGTTGGAAGTCTTCTTCGTATACGGGTGACTCGATATATACTAAGTGACATATAAATCCGAACACCCAGATTAAATGGTTTTATTTTAATAAAATTTTGTATAAGTACTTAATAAAACATAATAAGTAAATGATAAAAATTTCAAAACGATTGCACTGCTTTAAAGCCCTTTGACCTTTAATAATGTGTGGATGCACCCTGATGTGCTACGCATTCTCCAACGCGCCTAGGCATGCTTCTGATCAGGTGGTCAATGTCCTCCTGTGGTATCTCATTCCAGGCAACCACCAACTCCTCTCGAAGTGCTTCTAGAGTCTGAGGAGGACGTTGCAAATTGAGCAATCTCCTACCCATCATATCCCACACGTGCTCAATTGGGGATAAGTCGGGAGATCTTGGTGGCCATGGTAACAATGTGACATCATTATGTTGAAAGAAGTCTATTGTGACTCTTGCAACATGTGGTACGGGCATTATCTTGTTGGAAAGTTGGATCTGCCAGGGTGTCAAGATAGGGTAAAAGATGGGGTTCTAGAACTTCGTGGATATAACGCTGCGCGTTCATGTTACCTCTGATGAAGATTAAAGGTGACCTGGAACCATAAGCTATAGCACCCCAAACCATAACTCCAACAGTGTGATGAACATGTCTTTCAACAAAAAACTGTGGATTCCTCCTTTCACCACGTCGCCTTCTAACCCTGGCACGACCATCGTGCATGCCTAAACAAAATCGAGACTCGTCACTAAAGACAATACTGTTCCATTCCTGATCCCAGAGTGACCGTTGTCTGCACCACTCAAGGCGATTACGTCGGTGTTCTCGAGTTAAAGGAAGGAGCCAGTGTGGCCGGTATGAAAACAAGCCAAAACTTCTCATTCGTCGGTAAACACTTCGCATGCCAATAGGTCTTCCGTATTCTGCAAACCATTCATTTGCAATGGACCTGGTACTGGAGAAACGGTCCCTTAAGGCCAATAATCTTAGGCGGCGATCTTCACGGTCTGTTGTTCTACGGCGGCGTCCAGTGCCCCTTGCTCTTTGCGTACGGCCTTCTCGAAGCCATGCCTGACAACACCTAACCACAGTGTCTACACTTCTTTGCACTCTAACTGCAGTTGCCCGAAAAAAAGTCCAGCTTCCCGAAGTCCCACTATACGGCCCCTATCAAACTCACTAAGTTGACGAAATCGTACAGGTCTCCGTACTTTAGGCCTTGTAACCGATCGTAAAGGATGTCAAGAACCAAAATCCGCCAACGTTGATTCTTTACTGCTGCTGAAATACTCATTTTTAGAGCGTTAGTGAATTAAAAAAAAGCAGTATAAAAACCGGAATGTCCAACTGATAAGGCTGGAAATTTTTTCACTTGTTATTTACAGTAAGATAAATACATTCACCAACTTTTATTAAAATAAAACCATTTAAACTGGGTGTTCGGATTTATATGTCACTTAGTATATGAGTGTAGCAGCCTCAGTCAGTACGTAAAAATACAAAAAAGTCATCATTTATAGGTCTGGAAATTCTCTACAAAATTACTCTATTCTTATTTTCAGAGGGTCTATTACCTGTCCCTCGAGTTCTACATGGGCAGGTCCCTACAGAATACGATGATCAACCTTGGTATCCAAAGCTCTGTAGATGAAGCTCTCTATCAGTTAGGTCTAGATATTGAAGAATTAGAAGAGCTAGAAGAGGATGCTGGTCTAGGAAACGGTGGACTGGGAAGGCTTGCCGCCTGTTTCTTAGATTCGATGGCTACCTTAGGTACACTTTTTTCTTTTAGTTTTCAGCATAATTGACGTAATCTGTATTAGAGATATCACAGCGGAATAATAATGATATCTAGATTACGTATCCCGGATTTTTTTGACAGATCGCACGTAAAACAGGTCAATGTTCCAGATTCAATTTTTCGGATACACCTCGTATATGGACGCATACCTGCACGCGTAAAAACGATTTGTGATCAATGTTTCATTTATTGGCAACGGATTGGATTGGAAGTAAACGTGTGTAACTTTGCTGTGGTCAAATTAGCCTGAGCATATGTAAAGAGGTTAAATCAAAATACGTAATTTCCGACAAATGATTATTATTACATGTAAACAAAGTCCTATATATAGAAATCCAACCTGGCAGGTGTCCACATAGAAATGCATCATAATATTGAGTTCCTGTAAGTAATGGTGTATAATCTTTACATGTCGATCTTATACCTGAAACCGTACGAAATAAAATGGCGCTTGGTCAAGCAAGGCTTCCATAAAGAATGTTTATTTTTCTTTTTATTCAATCATCACCACACGTAAATGTTACTTGAGCATGTGATGCAAAAGAAATAATAGCTTGGGAGTCAAATTTTGTATTATAAAACTCAATTATGTATTCATCTAAAAATTAAATGAACCAAAAACGCCACGCATGTTAAAAAGGAATCAAGCACCTGAATATTTATATTACGAGGGCTGTTTCAAAAATAAGAGTCTCACATTTTTTCAGGCACAAGGATTTTTTTATTTGAAAAAATTTATTCACCAATGGAAACGTTGATCTTTAATGCAATTTTCTCCATAGTCACGATTTTTTTCTACGCGTATTTTTTGACGTGAAATCCACTTTTGAGAGGTATCGATTAATAGCTTGTTTGAAAGGTCTTTCGAAGTCCTTTATTTTTTATAAGAAAATTAGAAAATTCTTTATTTTTAAATGTTCAAATTCCTGACGGAAATTTTCAAAAATATGTTGTGGGTACCATCGCAGCGTTCGATGAAGCGTTGACGAAGTTCATCTAAACTTTCAGGTTGGGGAATAAACACAATAGATTTAATAATAATAAATGTCTTTTATTTGTAATATTCTTACAGCAGGCGAGATTTAAATAATATATCTATTCTACCATCTAACCCCCTTAACAATACGATATGTAAAAAAACAGAATTTGTTGAAAATTAATACCTGTATACAATAAAGTATAATCTAAGTAAAGGCATAAGGAAAATATGAGGACATTTATGGGTTACAACAGATTTCGCTACTGAGAATTTGGGAAATGGATTCCTTTTTTTTTAAACTGCGGTCTAAAGAATTATATGATTTGATGGCATGCTGTGGCGTGGAATTGAAAAAGTCTCTCTATATCTAATATTAACATATTCCCTCTACGTATGAATTTGTTTACTAAATATGACGGTGTTTTTGAATAAAGCACCTTATGAGTCAGATTCAGGAGCTGGTACTTATACATTTTATCAATTTTCGGCCATTTGAGTTCATTAATGTCATTCGATATATATATATATATATATACAGGGTGACTTCGAATCGATCAAAAGAAATGTTTTTTCCTTTACCATTTTTATGGTAAAATTAAAGTAACAAAGTTATAGCCCTTTGGAAGTTTGAGTACCGCCCTGTCTCAATAATAATATTATGTGCTCGTGTTTGGCGACAACGGATATAATCCGCCTTATCGGTTCATCGCATCGGAAACAAAAAAGCGAAAGAATTTGGAACGATGTTTTTACAATTATTTTATTCATTTGTATATGGTCAGTGTCAGTCGGTAACGCGTGAGTGAATGGTGGTGTCTGTTGCGTGGCTCAAACGAAATAAAAAATGGCACATGTTTATGCGGATCGGTTTCCCAATCGAGTGCAACCAACCCCTCGTGCCTTTGTTAATGTAGTACAACGGGCTCGTGAATCAGGTGACGGCATGCCGGTGCTCCAAGACCTCACGATCAAATACAGGTCCGCACTGAAATACTTGTCGGGAGGATACTTTATAAAACAAGGTAAATTTTTTTTTAATTTTTTTTATTTTTGGTTTATCTTCCTTCTACAATCATTATCTGAAAATTAATGACTCAACTTCAAAGTATATATAGTTAATTGCCTTAACTGTTAGGAGAAAATATTGTTGAATTTCTTTGGGTAGAAGGCTAAGTACACTCTTATAACTTAAACTCCAGCTTTCGAAGGTCTATGCCCTCATCATCTGGAGCTGTAAACAATTTTTGAAGAATAGCAAAATTCGTCAAATATCTGTCACTTTCGTTTAAGAACAATTTCAGCAACAGTCTCGCCGACTTAGTAAGTAATTATATATTTCTTCCTCCTAATTGTTTATTGTTGCTATTCTTCAAAAATTGTTTATAGCTCCAGATGATGAGGGCATAGACTTTCGAAAGCTCGAGTTTAAGTTATAAGAGTGTGCTTATGCAATAATTTGCCTTCTCCCAAAGCAATTCAAGGGTATATATATATATATATATACATAATATTAAACAAATGCTTACTATTATTATCTCTACTACTACTAGTACAAATTCGTAGTCAACTTTTTTCTGAGATTGAGTAAATCGTATCCATTTAAGAACTTACTGGACGCTATTTTTTTCAAATGATTACTACCTTTTTATAATTTCACCGTATTGTATAATGAAAATAAGGTTATTTCTGTATACGAGGGATGTCTTTTAAGTTTTGCATATGGAAATAAAACAACACGGTTGGTAGTTTTAAATGACTTTATTGTTTTTGATATACAGGGTGTCCGCAAAGTTGCGGTTTTCCTTTTCAGAAACAACTACCCTTGAAATAACAAAGGTGATGTGTAGTGAAACGAGGGCGACCAAGTAAAAAAAAATAAAGGAAAAAGTACTCACTCTCCAGTTGACGAGAAGGGAAGTACGTCTCTGCCCGAAATCATACCGCTCCAACAGAAAATGAAATCAGCTGATGCGCTACCGAGCAGACGCAGGCAAACAAGGAAGGCAAAATGTTGCGTAAAAAATCTAGGTATTGCATCCCGTCCAATCGATTTGGGAGAATAAATGGTCCAATGAGCATACCGTTCACCATGCCAGCCCAAACATTCACCGAAAATGTTTGTTGAAAATGTGCCCGACGGACAGCGTGCGGATTTTCTACTGACCAAACATGAGTGTTGCGAAAGTTATTCACCCCATTACGCGTGAACGTAAATTCGTCTGTCACCAATATGCACTTCAAAAAGTCCGGATTATTGTCATGTTGATGCAACAACCACTCACAAAACCGCACTCTTGCTGGAAAATCGTCAGGTTGAAGGGCTTGTACACGTTGGACGTGAAACGGATACAGCCCCTCTTCACGCAGCGTTTGCCACACTTTAGTTTTTGATACTTGCACTTCTCTAGCCACGTCTCTAGTGCTTGTTGAGGGATTCTCGTCTACGCGATTACCTCTACACGCGTGACCGTAACCGTCGGTTGAAGGTTGCATACTGACCTGACACACTGACCCCGACCCAGTTCTATCGTCAGGTTGAGGGCGGCTACAGGACGGTATTCAGATATTTTTGATGTTGCAGAGCCCTTTATCTCGGTTCCCTTAAGACATTGGTGTATATGGTACTAAGAAAAAATGCTTATGTTTTCAAGATCTACACGTCGCGTCGTGTAAAGGAAAACCCCAACTTTGCGGACACCCTGTATACATAATATATATAATACTTTGAATACGATTTCTTGTTATAATATCTAAATAATACGATATCTTTGACAACAAGAAAGATTCACACTACTGCTTTATCGCAGATTTATATAATATAGCCTTATTTGCAAATAAAACTCTGAGAATAGCGTAGCACTGAGAAGTTAGTTTACGTGTACAACAAATTTTAAGTCATCATCCATTATAATACCTAGGTTCTTCGAATGATCCACAGAAACTAATTTATTACTTTTTAAATGTATGTCTATGTCGTTTTTTTAAATATTCTTTTTTGTTCTATTTGCATATACCGACATTTTTGTCTTCAAAGGGTTCGAACGAAGATTATGACCACTACTGAACTTTTCAATTTCATTTTTATTATTTGCTGTTTCCAAGTCATTACTCCTAAATGAATAGAAAATTTGAGTATCGTCTGCAAAAAATTGTATGCTGCATGATTTTACGTCTGTTTCTAAATCTGAGATATATAATGAAAATAATAGGGGTCCTAAGACTGATCCCTGTGGTACACCAGAACAAATTTTTTGTTCGGTAGAGTACTGTTGATTTAGACGAACTTTTTGATGCCGATTTTCAAGGTAGGTTTGAATAAACGAAAGAGGTTTTTCAGAAAATCCATAATAACCTTGTCGAAATCCAGATTGTTTAGATGGAATAATTTTGTTAGAATATAAGTATTTGCAGAGCTGCTTGTAAACAACGCGTTCCAATATTTTAGAAAAATAGGCAGTAGATGATCGGTATCAGTAGAGCATAGTTAGTAGGATCAGAACACTTAGCTGGCGGATTTGGATTGGTGGTATTTTCCAACATATCCAAATAAATGTCGCCATTCAAATTTCCATTAATAAACAATGGCCCAATCACTTTGTTTCCTAAAACGCCTGCACATTCATTAATTTTTTGGGGGTACTGGGTATGCAATTCTACAATAGCATGAAGATTTTCTGTGATGTCTGTGTTGGTGAAAAGAATGCGGAAAAAAATTCGGGTTGTTATTTGTTGTGGCCAAGTTTAATCTTCCGAATATGTTGGTAGTTTCCGTTTTAAATTATAAACGAATTGTAGATATGGCAAACCCGAACGGGCAACATTTTGAACAGTTTTATTGAAATAAGAAGTGATATTTTCGTGTGTTTTTGTTTCTATCCGATCAAATTAAGATAAATATTTTTCTAATTTTCTCGCAACGAATCGACGGATTAAAAAAAATCATACGTCAAAATAAAGGACCTCGAAAGACCTTTCAAACAAGCTGTTGCACCTTTTGTCATTTAAATTTTTACGGGAATGACCCTAGGGGGCCTAGGGTGAAAAAGGGTGAAGTAGTTTTGGTTAAAAGTTGTCCCCCTTGAGAAGTCTTTTGACGTATCTCGGCGTTTTTTCTTTTAATCAGCGTTTTTCTATAAATCCGTTTTTATGTAAAGTTATTAAATCTGAAAAACTAGAATTTGATTTTATTTTATGAATGATATAAAATAAAGCCATTGTCCTTGATTGTTGGGTCACCCGGTACATGAATTTACAAATAAATGCTCTAAATATTAAAACGCATATTAAAACAAGAAAGATTGATATTCAAATCAAGTTGGGTACTTTATTTTGAAGGTTCATTTATACCATTTATGTATGAAAAATAATATCGCTCAAATGTTCACCACGACTGGATTTACAGACGTCCACGCGATGGTCGAAATTTTCAATGACATTTTGCAACATGGTCGGTTCTATGGCATTTATCTCGGCAATGATGTTGTTTTTGAGTTCTTGGAGGGTGGCTGGTTTGTTGACGTAGACTTTGCTTTCCAAATATCCCCATAAAAAGAAGTCCAAGGGAGTCAAATCGCACGATCTTGGTGGCCATGGCACATTTCCTCTGCGCGAAATCACGCGATCACCGAAGAAGGACTGCAATCGATGGATATTGACGTTGGTTGTGTGGCATGTTGCACCGTCTTGTTGAAATAAACATCGTCCATATCCATTCCTTCAAGTTGCGGCAAAAAATAGTCCTCTATCATCACGTGATATCGCTCAGAATTGTTTCGGATCGTCTCTCACACTCTCCTTCACAACAGCAATATTTTCCGGTGTGCGAACGCTCCTTGGCCGGCCAGAGACTTTCAGATTTGCCACAAAACCTGTTGCCTCGAATTTACGCACCAGACGACCGATGGTTGTTTCGTTTGGGCGGTTGTTGCGACCGAAATGTTCACGAAGCGCGCGAAACATTTTTTTTATTTTTACACCATTTTTTAACTTTAATGCGGTCTTCAATCGAATACGACTCCATAGCGATCAATGGTAAACATTCAACTGACAAAATGACATGTCGGTGACAGAAAACAAACATGGCGTCTATGTCAAATTGACGTTTACTTTCCTGCGTCCCTATTGGACAACCCAGTTACTTTATCTTATCTTACCAGGAATGGCGGCCTACGGTTACGGAATCCGTTACGAATACGGCATCTTCGCGCAGAAAATCATAAACGGCGAGCAACAAGAAGAACCCGACGACTGGCTCCGATTCGGCAATCCCTGGGAGAAGGCGAGACCTGAATACATGTTACCGGTCAATTTCTACGGCCGCGTCGTCGACACGGCAGAAGGAAAGAAATGGGTGGATACGCAAGTGGTTTTCGCCTTACCGTACGACAACCCGATTCCCGGTTACAACAATAATGTCGTCAATACGCTCAGGTTGTGGTCCGCCAAGTCGCCGATGGATTTCAACTTGAAGTTCTGTAAGTTTGTTTGTGAGAATTACCTCTTTTTCCCCTAATAAAAATGCCTAGATAAATAATGAAGGTCGTTTTGTTGATTTGTCAGTTTGACAAGTAAACTTTGTCTGCGAAAGGTTGGGAAATCTCGAAACAGGAGATACTACAGACCAAAATATGTGAATTGACCTAAACATACCTTAGTCTAAAAGCTACAATTTTATTTTTTATTTTTCCTTATTGCTTGAGAATTATTTCAGATTTTGATATAAAACTCGGTATAGGGAGGTTTCCTAGTATGAGAAACAAGTATCGGTTATTTTTTATGACCAAACATTTAGAGGACGCCACTTTCAGCACTATTTCGGTAAATAAGTTATCATAACTTTTTTGTGCTACCCTGTATACAACAACTGACTGAAAAATCTTATTTTGTTGTATTTCCACAACAAAAAAGGTTTACTTGTTGAAAGTGTCTAAAACTGATAGCTTTCGAGCTATTTCTTTTTAAAAGTTCCAATGCATTATTTATACCATGATGCTAAAACATTTTTATAACATGATATATTCAGAAATATTTTGCTTAAAAATGCTCATTTCACAGTCATTATTTGATATACATATATAGCGTTAAATTGTTCCTTTTAAAACACATTTAAACCTGTGTACAGAAGACCATAGTTGGCTCACTTTTCAACCTAGACATATAATGTACCATTTTTCAAATTTTGTTTCCAGTCAACGACGGTGATTACATCCAGGCGGTCCTCGACAGAAACCTCGCCGAGAACATCTCCAGGGTTCTCTATCCCAACGACAATGTCTTCGAGGGCAAAGAGTTGCGATTGAAACAAGAGTACTTCCTGTGCGCTGCTACTCTCCAAGATATCATCAGGCGATACAAGGCGGCAAAGTTCGGAACCAGGGAACCCACCAGGACGAACTTTGACTTGATGCCTAATAAGGTGGCCATACAGCTGAACGATACTCATCCGTCGTTGGCTATTCCTGAGCTGATGAGGGTTCTGGTTGACATTGAAGGTGAGAAAGAACATTTGAAGATTGAATTTAAGAACTGTAACGCTCTCGAAATGTTGACTTTTTCTACACTTCCTTACCCAAAGCCTTAGGACGAACTAGAGTGCTTTCCAGCTGGATTAGGTTCAACTGCTCTTTTTCCAACACGTTTTTTTTTTTAAAAAAAAACCTGCAACGTAATCATCAAATGATTTGCTTACGTCAATAACACTATCTTACCCGAAACCTTAGAACTTTCGCCTGTCTCAATTTTCACTCAATTTACTCTAGTACTTCTCAGCTCATTTAGGATTACTGGTTCTTTTTTAAACATCCTAGACCTCCTTTTAGCAAACAAACCTGGAAATTAACAACAAATGTTTCACGTATGCCAACGAGGTTATCTTACCCGAAACCTTAGAACGTTGCTCTGTCTCAATGTCCCATTAATTGGCTAGACTGCTTCCCACCTGAATCAGGATTAAAAGTTTTTTTAACATTGAAACCTCCTTTTGGAAGAGGCCTGAGACATGCGCTCTAACGGCACTGTTTTACCCGGAGCCTTGGAACTTTGATCTGCTTTAGTGCTCCAAGCATTTACAAGACTGCTTCCCCGCTAAATCAAATGAACAGTCCCTTTTAAAACATGTTAGTCATCGTTCTGGAAAAAGCCTGAAACAATCATCTCACGTTTCACGTATGCCAACTAGGCTATCTTACCCGAAACCTTGGAACGTTGCTCTGTCTCAATGCCCCATTGATTGGCTAAACTGCTTCTCACCTTAATCAGGATTAAAAGTCCTTTTAACATTGAAACCTCCTTTTGGAAGAAGCCTGAGACATGCGCTCTAACGGCACTGTTTTACCCGGAGCCTTGGAACTTTGATCTGCTTTAGTACTCCAAGCATTTACAAGACTGCTTCCCCGCTGAATCAAATGAACAGTTCCTTTTAAACCATTTTAATCATCGTTCTGGAAAAGCCTGAAACAATCACCTCATGTTTCACGTATGCCAACTAGGCTATTTTACCCGAAACCTTGGAACGTTGCTCTGTCTCAATGCCCCATTGGTTGGCTAAACTGCTTCCCACCTGAATCAGGATTAAAAGTTTTTTGTAACATTGAAACCTCCTTTTGGAAGAGGCCTGAGACATGCGCTCTAACGGCACTGTTTTACCCGGAGCCTTGGAACTTTGATCTGCTTTAGTGCTCCAAGCATTTACAAGACTGCTTCCCCGCTAAATCAAATGAACAGTTTCTTTTAAACCATTTTAATCATCGTTCTGGAAAAGCCTGAAACAATCACCTCATGTTTCACGTATGCCAACTAGGCTATTTTACCCGAAACCTTGGATCGTTGCTCTGTCTCAATGCCCCATTGGTTGGCTAAACTGCTTCCCACCTGAATCAGGATTAAAAGTTTTTTTGACATGGAAACCTCTTTTTTGGAAGAATCCTGAGACATGCGCTCTAACGGCACTGTTTTACCCGGAGCCTTGGAACTTTGATCTGCTTAAGTGCTTCAAGCATTTACAAGACTGCTGCCCCGCTGAATCAAATGAACAGTACCTTTTGAGACATTTCAGTCATCGTTCTGGAAAAAGCCTGAAACAATCACCTCATGTTTCACGTATGTCAACTAGGCTATCTTACCCGAAACCTTGGAACGTTGCTCTGTCTCAATGCCCCATTGATTGGCTAAACTGCTTCCCACCTGAATCAGGATTAAAAGTTTTTTTAACATTGAAAACTGCTTTTGGAAGAAACCTGAGACATGCGCTCTAACGGCAATGTTTTACCCTAGGCTATCTTACCCGAAACCTTGGAACGTTGCTCTGTCTCAATGCCCCATTAATTGGCTAAACTGCTTCCCACCTGAATCAGGATTAAAAGTTTTTTTAACATTGTAAACTCCTCTTGGAAGAAACCTGAGACATGCGCTCTTACGGCACTGTTTTACCCGGAGCCTTGGAACTTTGATCTGCTTTAGTGCTCCAAGCATTTACAAGACTGCTTCCCCGCTGAATCAAATGAACAGTTCCTTTTAAAACATTTTAGTCATCGTTCTGGAAAAAGCCTGAAACAATCACCACATGTTTCACGTATGCCAACTAGGCTATCTTTCCCGAAACCTTAGAACGTTGCTCTGTCTCAATGTCCCATTAACTGGCTAAACTGCTTCCCACCTGAATCAGGATTAAAAGTTTCTTAACATTGAAACCTCCTTTTGGAAGATGCCTGAGACATGCGCTCTGACGGCATTGTTTTACCCGGAGACTTGGAACTTTGATCTGCTTTAGTGCTCGAAGCATTTACAAGACTGCTTCCGCGCTGAATCAAATGAACAGTTCCTTTTAAAACATTTTAGTCATCGTTCTGGAAAAAACCTGAAACAATCACCTCATGTTTCACGTATGCCAACTAGGCTATCTTACCCGAAACCTTGGAACGTTGCTCTGTCTCAATGCCCCATTAATTGGCTAAACTGCTTCCCACCTGAATCAGGATTAACAGTTTTTTTAACATTGAAAATTGCTTTTGGATGAAACCTGAGACATGCGCTCTAACGGCACTGTTTTACCCGGAGCCTTGGAACTTTGATCTGCTTTAGTGCTCCAAGCGTTTAGAAGACTGCTTCCCCGCTGAATCAAATGAATAGTTCCTTTTAAAACATTTTAATCATCTTTCTGGAAAAAGCCTGAAACAATCACCATGTTTCACGTATGCCAACTAGGCTATCTTACCCGAAACCTTGGAACATTGCTCTGTCTCAATGCCCCATTGATTGGCTAAACTGCTTCCCATCTGAATCAGGATTAAAAGTTTTTTTAACATTGAAAACTGCTTTTGGAAGAAACCTGAGACATGCTCTCTAACGGCACTGTTTTACCCGGAGCCTTGGAACTTTGATCTGCTTTAGTGCTCCAAGCATTTACAAGACTGCTTCCCCGCTGAATCAAATGAACAGTTCCTTTTAAACCATTTTAGTCATCGTTCTGGAAAAAGCCTGAAACAATCACCTCATGTTTCACGTATGCCAACTAGGATATCTTACCCGAAACGTTGGAACGTTGCTCTGTCTCAATGCCCCATTAATTGGCTAAACTGCTTCCCACTTGAATCAGGATTAAAAGTTTTTTTAACATTGGAACCTCCTGTTGGAAGAAGCCTGAGACATGCGCTGTGACGGCACTGTTTTACCCGGAGCCTTGGAACTTTGATCTGCTTTAGTGCTCCAAGCTTTTACAAGACTGCTTCCCCGCTGAATCAAATGAACAGTTCCTTTTAAAACATTTTAGTCATCGTTCTGGAAAAAGCCTGAAACAATCACCAAATGTTTCACGTATGACAACTAACCTATCTTACCCGAAACCTTGGTACGTTGCTCTGTCTCAATGCGCCATTAATTGGCTAAACTGCATCGCACCTGAATCAGGATTAAAAGTTTTCTAACATTGAAACCGTCTTTTGGAAGAGGCCTGAGACATGCGCTCTAACGGCACTGTTTTACCCGGAGCCTTAAAACTTTGATCTGCTTTAGTGCTCCAAGCATTTACAAGACTGCTTCCCTGCTAAATCAAATGAACAGTTCCTTTTAGGACATGTTAGTCATCGCTCTGGAAAAAGCCTGAAACAATCACCTCAGGTTTCACGTATGCCAACTAGGCTATCTTACCCGAAACCTTGGAACGTTGCTCTGTCTCAATTCCCCATTAATTGGCTAACCTGCTTCCAACCTGAATCGGGATTAAAAGTTTTTTTGACATGGAAACCTCTTTTTTGGAAGAAGCCTGAGACACGCGCTCTAACGGCACTGTTTTACCCGGAGCCTTGGAACTTTGATCTGCTTAAGTGCTCCAAGCATTTACAAGACTTCTTCCCCGCTGAATCAAATGAACAGTTCATTTTAAAACATTTTAGTCATCGTTCTGGAAAAAGCCTGAAACAATCACCTCATGTTTAACGTATGCCAACTAACCTTTCTTGCCCGAAACCTTGGAACGTTGCTCTGTCTCAATGTCCGATTAGTTGGCTAATCTGCTTCCCACCTGAATCAGGATTAACAGTTTTTTTAACATTGAAAACTGCTTTTGGATGAAACCTGAGACATGCGCTCTAACGGCACTGTTTTACCCGGAGCCTTGGAACTTTGATCTGCTTTAGTGCTCCAAGCATTTACATGACTGCTTCCCCGTTGAATCAAATGAACAGTTTCTTTTAAAACATTTTAGTCATCGTTCTGGAAAAAGCCTGAAACAATCACCTCATGTTCCACGTATGCCAACTAACCTATTTTACCCGAAACCTTGGTACGTTGCTCTGTCTCAATGCCCCATTGATTGGCTAAACTGCTTCGCATGTGAATCAGGATTAAAAGTTTTTTAACATTGAAAACTGCTTTTTGAAGAAACCTGAGACATGCGCTCTAACGGCACTGTTTTACCCTGAGCCTTGGAACTTTGATCTGCTTAAGTGCTCCAAGCATTTACAAGACTGCTGCCCCGCTGAATCAAATGAAGAGTACCTTTTAAGACATTTCAGTCATCGTTCTGGAAAAAGCCTGAAACAATCACCTCATGTTTCACGTATGCCAACTAGGCTATCTTACCCGAAACCTTGGAACGTTGCTCTGTCTCAATGCCCCATTAATTGGCTAAACTGCTTCCCACCTGAATCAGGATTAAAAGTTTTTTTAACATTGTAAAGTCCTCTTGGAAGAAACCTGAGACATGCGCTCTTACGGCACTGTTTTACCCGGAGCCTTGGAACTTTGATCTGCTTTAGTGCTCCAAGCATTTACAAGACTGCTTCCCCGCTGAATCAAACGAACAGTTTCTTTTAAAACATTTTAGTCATCGTTCTGGAAAAAGCCTGAAACAATCACCAAATGTTTCACGTATGCCAACTGGGCTATCTTACCCGAAACCTTGGAACGTTGCTCTGTCTCAATGCCCCATTAATTGGCTAAACTGCTTCCCACCTGAATCAGGATTAAAAGTTTTTTAACATTGAAACCTCCTTTTGGAAGAAGCCTGAGACATGCGCTCTAACGGCACTGTTTTACCCGGAGCCTTGGAAATTTGATCTGCTTTAGTGCTCCAAGCATTTACAAGACTGCTTCCCCGCTAAATCAAATGAACAGTTCCTTTTAAAACATTTTAGTCATCGTTCTGGAAAAAGCCTGAAACAATCACCACATGTTTAACGTATGCCAACTAACCTTTCTTACCCGAAACCTTGGAACGTTGCTCTATCTCAATGTCCGATTAATTGGCTAAACTGCTTCCCACCTGAATCAGGATTAACAATTTTTTTAACATTGAAAACTGCTTTTGGATGAAACCTGAGACATGCGCTCTAACGGCACTGTTTTACCCGGAGCCTTGGAACTTTGATCTGCTTTAGTGCTCCAAGCATTTACAAGACTGCTTCCCCGCTGAATCAAATGAACAGTTCCTTTTAAAACATTTTAGTCATCATTCTGGAAAAAGCCTGAAACAATCACCTCATGTTTCACGTATGCCAACTAGGCTAGCTTACCCGAAACCTTGGAACGTTGCTCTGTCTCAATGCCCCATTGATTGGCTAAACTGCTTTGCACCTGAATCAGGATTAAAAGTTTTTTCAACATTGAAACCTCTTTTTTGGAAGAAACCTGAGACATGCGCTCTAACGGCACTGTTTTACCCGGAGCCTTGGAACTTTGATCTGCTTAAGTGCTCCAAGCATTTACAAGACTTCTTCCCCGCTGAATCAAATGAACAGTTCCTTTTAAAACAGTTTAGTCATCGTTCTGGAAAAAAGCCTGAAACAATCACCAAATGTTCCACGTATGCCAACTAGGCTATCTTACCCGAAACCTTGGAACGTAGCTCTGTCTCAATGCCCCATTAATTGATTAAAATGCTTCCCACATGAATCAGGATTAAAAGTTTTTTTAACATTGAAACCTAACCTGAGACATGCGCTCTAACGGCACAGTTTTACCCGGAGCCTTGGAACTTTGATCTGCATTTACAAGACTGCTTCCCCGCTGAATCAAATGAACAGTTCCTTTTAAACCATTTTAGTCATCGTTCTGGAAAAGCCTGAAACAATCATCTCATGTTTCACGTATGCCAACTAGGCTGTCTTACCCGAAACCTTGGAACGTTGCTCTGTCTCAATGCCCCATTGATTGGCTAAACTGCTTCCCTCCTGAATCAGGATTAAAATTTTTTTGACATGGAAACCTCTTTTTGGAAGAAACCTGAGACATGCGCTCTAACGGCACTGTTTTACCCGGAGCCTTGGAACTTTGATCTACTCAAGTGCTCCAAGCATTTACAAGACTTCTTCCCCGCTAAATCAAATGAACAGTTCCTTTTAAAACATTTTAGTCATCGTTCTGGAAAAAACCTGAAACAATCACCTCATGTTTCACGTATGCCAACTGGGCTATCTTACCCGAAACCTTGGAACGTTGCTCTGTCTCAATTCCCCATTAATTGGCTAAACTGCTTCCCACCTGAATCAGGATTAAAAGTTTTTTTGACATTGAAAACTGCTTTTGGAAGAAACCTGAGACATGCGCTCTAACGGCACTGTTTTACCCGGAGCCTTGGAACTTTGATCTGCTTTAGTGCTCCAAGTATTTACAAGACTGCTTGCCCGCTAAGTCAAATGAACAGTTCCTTTTAAAACATTTTAGTCATCGTTCTGGAAAAAGACTGAAACAATCACCTCATGTTTCACGTATGCCAACTAGGCTATCTTACCCGAAACCTTGGAACGTTGCTCTGTCTCAATGCCCCATTAATTGGCTAAACTGCTTCCCACCTGAATCAGGATTAAAAGTTTTTTAACATTGAAAACTGCTTTTGGAAGAAACCTGAGACATGCGCTCTAACGGCACTGTTTTACCCGGAGCCTTGGAACTTTGATCTGCTTTAGTGCTCCAAGCATTTACAAGACTGCTTCCCCGTTGAATGAAATGAACAGTTCCTTTTGAAACATTTTAGTTATCGTTCCGGAAAAAGCCTGAAACAATCACCACATGTTTCACGTATGCCAACTAACCTATTTTACCCGAAACCTTGGTACGTTGCTCTGTCTCAATGCGCCATTAATTGGCTTAACTGCTTCCCACCTGAATCAGGATTAAAAGTTTTTTAACATGGAAACCTCTTTTTTTGGAAGAAGCCTGAGACATGCGCTCTAACGGCACTGTTTTACCCGGAGCCTTGGAACTTTGATGTGCTTTAGTACTCCAAGCATTTACAAGACTGCTTCCCCGCTGAATCAAATGAACAGTTCCTTTTAAAACATTTAGTCATTGTTCTCGAAAAAGCCCGAAAATGGAGTGCTTCTCAGCTGAATCATGTTCTTTCTTTTTTCAAACTTTCCAGGCCTATCTGGGAAAACGCCTGGGACGTAACCGTCAGATGCTGCGCGTACACGAACCACACCGTCCTCCCCGAAGCCCTGGAACGTTGGCCCGTCTCCATGTTCGAACGGCTACTGCCGCGCCATCTAGAGATCATCTACCACATCAACTTCCTGCATCTACAGGACGTGCAAAAGAGGTGGCCCGGCGACATGGATCGAATGAGGAGGATGTCTTGCGTTGAGGAGGATGGAGAAAAGAGGATCAATATGGCGCATTTGTCCATCGTCGGCTCGCACGCCGTTAACGGGGTGGCTGCCATACATTCGGAGATCATCAAGAAAGATGTGTGAGTAGGATTTTTTCAGTGTTTGAAATGAGTCTAGGAGTGTCCAGGAGAATAATAGGCAGATTTATAAATCTTGAGGTTTCCTTAGGAACATTGGATCTCTTCTTGGAGGCAAACTCAAGGTCAATGAAGCCGAACGGCGAACTTCAAAGACGTTCCGGACAGTGTCCCATTAAGGTGGATAAATACGAGGGCGGTGCGATAAGTATTCAGACTCACCACCCGATGGCGCCACTATCGCAAGACAATTTTGCTGTCGTATAATACATTCTCGTAGATGGCTACTGTCAACATTTCAGCCGAATGATCGATTATTTTTCAGGTTCAAAGACTTCTACGAGATGAACCCTGAAAAATTCCAAAACAAAACAAACGGCATCACTCCTAGAAGATGGTTGGTGCTGTGTAACCCCAGCCTTAGCGACCTGATCACCGAGAAAATTGGAGACGAATGGACCGTCCATCTGGATCAGTTGACCAAACTGAAACAATGGGCCAAGGATCCCAATTTCCAAAGAGCCGTCCAGAAAGTCAAACAGGTAAGTTTGAAAGAAATTGTTATAATTACCGATTTGAATGATTAGGATATCTAGTTTACCTTACTGTTCATTAAAAACCTGTATTTTCCTTGAAGGTAAGTGTTGATTTTTCTGTACTGACTGTCCTAAAAAGACGTCAAAATGGCAGCCTTTTAAACGAGGTCTTGTCGTCGTCATAGAAATGGCGTCAATAACGACGTCATTTTTTAGTCAATGACGTTCCCTTTTTTGTCGCATCTCTAACACCTTTTTCAATTGGGTATCTTCTAGTGAAGCGAAGTTTATTTTTGTGTTCAGCTACTATCTCATAGATGGTCTGGGTCATTGGCTGTCTTCGCGTAGACTAAGTTAAAAATTCGTAAAATAATTAAGAATACCCTTGGTGAGATGGAAAACTACGGTAGGTTGTTACACCCTCTTCAATAAGTTTTGTTATGACGCATACCAGGCGATCGCTTGATGAATCGTTGAATAAAGAAATATTATGTCATTAATACGAGGGTAGTTTCAAAAATATGGTTCCAAACGTCTTGTGTTCTTTTCAGATTTGGTAACAATATCATGAATTTCTTACCGAAAAATCGCCAAAAATCGGAAAACAGGTTTTAGAGATTTTTAGAGCACGATTTTATTAATTCGTTAACTATAAAACTCAATTCATGCATATGCGTAAAGTCACCTAATAAATTCACGATCTTATTGATGAATCTGAATAACGCACTGATACACATTTTTAAGTTTGCGAAATATTCATTATCTAAAAAAAAATTCAAAAAAAAAAAATTAAAATTATTTTTTCGAACCTATAAGTTCCACAAATATGTATTAAGTTTGAGAATTCTCAGAATTTTCAGAATTTTCAAATTTTCAGATTTCTCAGAATTTTCAGAATATTCAGAATTTTCAGAATTTTCAAAATTTTCAGAATTTTCAGAATTTTGGGAATTTTCTGAATTTCAAGATTTTTCAGAATTTTCAGATTTTTCAGAATTTTCAGATTTTTCAGAATTTTCAGGGTTTTCAGAATTTTCAGATTTTTCTGAATTTTAAGATTTTTCAGAATTTTTCAGATTTTTCAGAATTTTCAGAATTTTTCAGATTTTCAGAATTTTCAGAATCTTCAGATTTTTCAGAATTTCAGAATTTTCAGGATTTTCAGAATTTTCAGATTTTTCTGAATTTTAAGATTTTTCAGATTATTCAGAATTTTCGGAATTTTCAGCATTTTCTGATTTTAAGATTTTTCAGAATTTTCAGATTATTCAGAATTTTCAGATTTTTCAGAATTTTCAGATTATTCAGGATTTTCGGAATTTTCAGAATTTTCAGATTTTTCTGAATTTTAAGATTTTTCAGAATTTTCAAATTTTTCAGAATTTTCAGAATTTTCGGAGTTTTCAGCATTTTCTGAAATTCAAGATTTTTCAGAATTTTCAGATTAGTCAGAATTTTCAGGATTTTCAGAATTTTCTGAATTTTAAGATTTTTCAGAATTTTCAGGATTTTTCAGAATTTTCAGAATCTTCAGAATTTTCAGTATTTTCAGATTTTTTAGAATTTCAGGATTTTCAAATTTTCTGAATTTTAAGATTTTTCAGAATTTTTCAGATTTTTCAGAATATTCAGAATTTCGGAATTTTCAGCATTTTCTGAATTTTAAGATTTTTCAGAATTTTCAGATTATTCAGATTTTTCAGAACTTTCAGATTATTCAGAATTTTCAGGATTTTCGGAATTTTCAGATTTTTCTGAATTTTAAGATTTTTCAGAATTTTTCAAATTTTTCAGAATTTTCAGAATTTTCAAATTTTTAGTAATAATTGAGGTGCATTGATGATTTAACCCCAGACAACTCCCGAAGAGCCTTAGATGCTGCGATCTTGGCATGATTACCCTTCCTACAAAAAACAATAACGAACCTCTCCAATTCCAGGAAAACAAACTTCGTCTCGCGCAACTGCTAGAAAAAGACTACGGCGTTAAGATCAACCCCTCCTCGATGTTCGACATCCACGTGAAGCGCATCCACGAGTACAAACGCCAACTGTTGAACTGCCTGCACATCATCACCCTGTACAACAGGATCAAGAAAAACCCCTCCGCGAAATTCACCGCCAGGACGATCATGATCGGTGGCAAAGCGGCACCTGGTTACTACGTGGCTAAGAAGATCATCAAGTTGATCAACATGGTCGCGAACGTGGTCAATAATGATCCTATTGTCGGGGAAAAGTTGAAGGTTATCTACTTGGAGAATTACAGGGTGACTTTGGCGGAGAAGATCATACCGGCTGCTGATTTGAGCGAGCAGATTTCTACTGCCGGTTAGTGTCCAAAAAATCGTTTAGAGATACTCGACTCGTATTTGTCTTTGGAAAACGGAATATATCGATTACAATTTTTAAAAGCGCAACAGTAAAATATACCATAAATTTAACAGACGATCTTTTGAGTGATTTCAAAACAAAAAATTTATATAAACGTAGGTACACAAAGTCTTCGTTCTCAAGATACAGGGTGTTAAAATTTAAAAAAATGTTTTTTTCGTTTATTTCATAAATACTCATAATGTTGTTTTGATAATTTTGAACATTTCGGTGTTAGATGATTTTGAAAATTGAAAACCTCCGAACTTTACGTTTAGAACGGAAATTGTGAGAATTTTCAAAATCTAGGGAATTTCAATTTTTTTTGGAAATGTTCCATTTTTTGTAAATTTCGATGTTTGAGGATTTTGAAGATTGACAACTTCCGAACTTTACGTTCGTAACGGACATTGTGGGAATCTTAAAAATTTTGGGAACTTTCAAAATTTTATTATGTATTGGAAATTATCCAACTTTTTTAAAGCTTTAAAAATTTTGAATCTTATAATTTTTAAAACTTTGATGTTTGATGATTTTGACAACTGAAAACTCCGAACTTAACGTTAGGAACGGAATGTGGGAATTTTCAAAACTTGAGGGATTTTCAAATTTTCAATCTTGGAAAATTTCCAATTATTGAAAATTTCGATGTTGTGATAATTTTTTAAAATTGAAAATTTCCAAACTTTACGTTTCAACCGAACGTCGTAGAAATTTTCAAAATTTTGGGAATCTTCAAAATTTCATCTATTGAAAATTTCATCATTTGAAAATTTTCCAATTTTTGAATCTGTCATTTTGAGAAGTTTGATGTTTGATGATTTTGAAAATAGAAAACTTCCAAATTTTTCGTTCGGAACGGAAATTATGGGAATTTTCAAAGTTTCGAAAATTTTAGGAGTTTTCCAAATTTTCTTTTGGACATTTTACATTCTTTGTCTTCTGATGATTTTGGAAATTTTGATGTTTGATAATTTTGAAAATTGAAAACTTCTGAACTTTACGTTTAGAACGGAAATTGTGGGAATTTTCAAATTTATCTTTTGAAAATTTTCCAATTTTTGAAAATTTTTGAATCTTTCAATAATTTTGAAAAGTTTGATGTTTGATGATTTTGAAAATAGAAAACTTCCGAACTTTTCGTTCGGAACGGAAATTATGGGAATTACAAAGTTTCGAAAATTTTAGGAGTTTTCAAAATATTTCTTTTGGAAATTTTTAAATTCTTTTGTCTTCTGATGATTTTGGATATTTTGATGTTTGATAATTGAAATTGTGGGAATTTTGACGATTTTGGAAGTTGAAAGCTTCTCAACTTTTCGTTCGAAACGGAAATTGTGGGAATTTTCAAAATTTAAGTGATTTTCAAAAATTTTTTTAAACCTTCCAATTTTTGAAATTTCAATGTTTTGAGGATTTCGAAGATTGGAAACTTCCGAACTTTACGTTCGTAACGGACATTGTGTGAATTTCAAAATTTTGGGAACCTTCAAAATTTTATAATGTATTGGAAATTATCAAGTTTTAAAATTTTTGAATCTTATAATAATTTTGAAAACTTTGATGTTTGATAATTTTGAAAATTGAAAACTTCCGAACTTTTCGTTCGAAACGGAAATTAAGGAAATTTTCAATTTCGAAAATTTTAGGAATTTTAAAATATTAATCCTGGAAATTTTGAACTTTTTTTAGTCTTCTGATGATTTTGGAAATTTTGATATTTGATGATTTTGAAAATTGAAAACTTCCGAACTTCACGTTTAGAACGCGGGAATTGTGGGAGTTTTCAAAATTTGGGGGATTTTCAAAATTTTTTGGAAATCCTCCAATTTTTGAAAATTTTGATGTTTGAGGATTTTGATGATTGAAAACTTCTGAGCTTTACGTTTTTAACGGACATTGTGAAAATTTTCAAAATTTTGGGAAATTTCAAAATTTTATAATGTATTGGAATTTATCCAGTTTTTTAAGTGTTAAAATTTTTGAATCTCATACTAATTTTGAAAACTTTGATGTTTGATGATTTTGAAAATTGAAAACGTCCGAACTTTACATTCGTAACAGAAATTGTGGGAGTTTTCAATTTTTTTTGAATTTTCAAAATTTTCAATCATTTGGAAATTTTTTCAATTTTTGACAGTTTTCAATTTCTCAAGTCTTCTGAAATTATTTACATATACAGGGTGTTCCATTTGCAATGAGAAAAGGTACATTTTACGTTGCGAGATAACCTGTATAAATAGAAAGCTATCTTAGCATCTCTTTCGGATCAGCTAAATCGATGATAATACAATTTTTGTGAACTGAAATTTATCTAAATATTTTCAGAAATGGCCGAGCTACGAGCCGTCAAAGTTGAGCGTTTTGTCAGACATTTCACTAAATATCTAAACTATTGACTATCTAACCATATCTTATATGATATCAAACTTCTTGTTTTTAGAAGCTCTATCCAAATATAGGATATTCTATTTAAAAAAAAAACGTGTTGTAATGGCAAGAAATTCTGGAACACCCTGTATACAGTGTATGTACCATAAATTTAACAGACGATTCTTTGGGTAATTCTAAGACAAAAAGTTAAGGAGATGGCGAGTAGAGTACGATTTTCTACCATAGAATTATTAGACCCATAGGAGTGTTTTGCTGTAAAAATAAAATTCAATATTTTCAAGAACAGAAATTATTCTAAATAAGGGAAAAGTTGTAAATAATTTGCTATATCAAGAATATCATTAATTTTTACTTAACCATAAAAAAACTGTAACACGGTGTCTTCGTTAGCTGTTTTTCAAAAATCGCCGAAGAATCAGAAACTTCAGAATGACTCATTGAACGTTCGCCCTATGTTTCGACAACCCCCTGTATATGACCTCTGTTTGCAGGCACCGAAGCCTCGGGCACGGGCAACATGAAATTCATGCTGAACGGCGCTCTGACTATCGGCACTCTAGATGGCGCCAATGTCGAGATGGCCGAAGAGATGGGCGACGAGAACATTTTCATATTCGGCAATGACCGTAGACGAAGTGGAAGACTTGAAAAGGAAAGGCTACAACGCGATGGACTACTATAACGCGAATCCCGAGTTGAAGCAGGGCGTGGATCAGATTCAGAACGGGTTCTTCAGTCCGGGGAATCCGGATGAGTTCAGGGATTTGGCTGATATACTGTTGAAGTATGACAGGTTTTATTTGTTCGCGGATTACGAGGCGTATATCAAGAAACAGGAGGAGGTTAACAGCGTGTATGAGGTAAGAAATGAGATTATATGAATCGAAG